TGTCATGGTTTGAAATATGTGGAATATTCTTATACTTTCCTGTGTATGCTGCAGTTTTTTTTCTGCAGCCATGTTGCCAATTTTCATTGTCCATGGACCAAACAACTGAGGGTTTACCGAAAAAGAAGCATTTATAATCCGCATCGATCCTCAAAATATCAACTAATAATTGCTAAAGCTATTTAGGAATTGTGGTATCATACCACTGAGTTTTGCTTTTTACGTATAATTTGCTAACATGAAGTGCATGAGAACTTTGCTTTTGGCTGGGTCTATTTTACCCAAATACCTTCGAGTCAACTTGCCTTTTCCTCGCAGAAAGTTTAGGGTGTCTGCGTGTGTGAGTCGCTTTGGCTGGTCTGCTTATGGTATAATTGTTTTCTTAGAACTTCAGTTTTTACTCCATCGATTTAGAATTTCCAAGTGCAATCTATATCACCTCTCTCATACTAGATGACAGATTTGACATTGGTGGGGGATAATGGTAAATATTAAACATTCTGCCTCTGCATTAGAGTAACCTGCCAAACTATTCATTTCATGGTTTCAGTACCATGTGAGTGAAAGGGAAACTCAATATGGGAGCTAGAATGTTTCTTCTTCTAGACCTATGGTGTCTAACCTGCGGCCCTTTGACACTTGGTGTGTGACCCCCCAGGGCTCCTGCAAATAGTGTTTGTGTATGGTTCTTCTTACTAGAGCTAGTGAAGGAAAATTCTGTAGACTGGCTTGTTAGTGTTTGTTTTCTTTCACACTAGCTTACATTTTTCCATGCTTTTTATTTTTTTTCCTTGGATTGTATATTGGAACTTGCTAAGAGAAATCTCCCATGATTAAAGGGGGTTGTAGGGAGTACAAATGTGGAATCATTCATCAATTGGTGGCTGAGGCTGTATAGAACAGATCCCTAGCAGTCTCATGTAATGTGTCTGCAGTCTGTGGCTGGTCCTTAGTCTCCAACACTTACAGCATGCCACTAGTCTCTGACCATGTCTTGTAGAAGCATGCCTGTAGTATCTGACCATCTCCTGTTGTATTTCTGCAGTCTCTAATAGCTTCCTGTAGCATTAAATTCACTGGCTATTATGTTCTACCCTCCAGTGATGTCAGGGACTGTACCTAAGACTCCCTATATCAAGTGAGTTGACCACCATGGCTCTAGTCCTGACCCTATATTAGGATGCATTCACGTCCCTGTGTTTTGGTACATTGCAGGTGAAGTGCATTAAACACAATGAGGAAAATTATATTATGATGTTTTTGAACAATTCTGGAAAAGCAGGATTTTCTTTTGGAAATGCCTTTTACCAAGCTTGCTTGCAGTGCACAAGCAGCTAATATAGAATTACATTTTATTTATTTTTCAAGTTGTTGTCCTGCTACAACTGACACAAAGCTTGCTCACAGCAAAATTGGAAATGGCCTTCTTGGGGAAGCGCTTTTTTTTCTCCCTGCTGAGTTATATCTTTTTGTTTCCCTTTTTGTTCTTCACGTGCAACCTAATCTGTTAGCCGTAAAGGAGATAAACCCCTTACCCTCTGTTCTTATTAAGAAAAGCTGGACTCAACAACTGTATAAGTTGCCATTGCAGGCTTGTGGAAAAATTCTAGTGCCTGGCTGTTATGATAATGCATTGGCTTCAATACTTGGCCTGACACACCAAGTATGTAGACCAGGATTTCTGACATGGTGTATGTATAGCTAAAACGTTAATTTTGGTTTTGCATAAAATAGTATAGGGTTTTATTGCCCTCTGTGTCCCCTGCTGGGTAGTTTCACCCTTTTTGTATTTATATTTGGGGACCATTGTCACTGATACAGAAAGTCAGGGGCAATCTGAAATGTTACAGTTGTCCCAGAGCAAGGGCTGAAGGTGAACCTTTTTATGAGGACACCTTTTTCAGTGACATCTGCCTGAGGGCAGTCCCCTAACATTGTACTCTTCCTGTTAGCCAGACGGCAGAAAACAAGCTGAAAGGGGTATTAACTCTTCCTTACTCTAGGACCTCCGGGTTTGAAAAGGGGGAAGGGTTCTATTTAAGAGCAGGACTGGTACACCACACCCTAACATTTTCAGATGTAACCAATTCATTCATAACCAATAGGCTACAGTTTTTTGAATGGTGCCAGAAATAAATCCACAAAGTATAACATTTATTTAGACAACCATTTAAAAGAATTAACACACACAAAAGGGAGAAAGTGAGACTAAAACCACTGTCTCATCCAAATTAGTTTCACAGAGGATTACGTTATAGAGAAACCCATTTTTATAAAGTATAATATACATTAATGGTTGACCGTCCTTGTATTTTTTTCGTTACATCCAGAATTATTGCATATTAGGTGTGACCCCATGATGAAAGGTGGAGATGGTTCAACGCGTTTTTCTTGTCAAGCTTCTACTTAATAAAGGGAATTAAATGAAAAATGTCTGTTTTCTTCACTTGAAACCACACTATTAATATGCAAAAGCAATAAACTTAGACTTAGAGCATTTGGGATGATACACACATGGTAGTTCCCCCCTCGTCAACTGCAGGGGGACCCCACAACTGAGAGAGAACTACCATGTGTGTATCATCCCAAATATTATTGTTGTAAGTATAATGGTTTCTCCATATTAATAGTGTGTTTTCAAATGAGGTAAATAACAAAGTGTTTTTTTTCTCACTTTTCTTTTGTGGGGTGTGTTTAACTCGTTTAAATTGTCTAAATAAATGTTGTACATATCTAAAGTATGTTTTTTATATATATATATATAT